CGTGGTTGCCTTAGCCCAACATAAGTCATCTGATGCATAAACGAAAGAAACAACTAGCAGTTCTCGTGAAAACGTGTTAGAAGCTATGAATAAACGAAAGAAACAACTAGCAGTTCTCGTGAAAACGTGTTAGAATAGCGATTCATAAACGAAAGAAACAACTAGCAGTTCTCGTGAAAACGTGTTAGAATACAAACTACTCAGCTTGGGCTGCGTTTGAGTAAGAGGGAGTTATTTGTAAAAATTGTAGGATTGCATGAGTTTGGCAACCTACTGTACCTGTTGGCAGCTAAACGCGGGTGACCTGCTGTGGCTGACAAAATTCGGTCCAAATATTGACATCAACTTTTAGTTTACGCCCCTAAACTTTCAGACAGACTGATTTACTCCAAGTTAATGATTGCTATCTGAGAAAATTAAAGACCAGGAATTGCTTTTTTCATAAATTAATATTCACTAGCATCCAAATTTTAAATGTTCACTTAAAAATACAAACATCAGCGCAAATGGTTACACCAAAAGTCCCTCAAAGAGAACTAACTATAAAAGTGTTTAATGAGGAGGGGCGAATGAAAAAGGCAAAATATTGACCTATACAAAGGACCAGTACTCTATTGATTGTCCACATCATAGGGAAGAAAAAAAAAGAAAAATCGATTGCTTTATCACGAATACTTCGTGTTTGCTAATAGACCATGTCCAGCAATTCTCGAGTACAAAAGGAAAACTTCGATAGAATCAGCACAGCACTGAAGTCAGTATGCCCACTGACGATAGTCGGCCGGAGAATGCTTTTCCTGACGGTTTAGATCGATCTCTTGACCGAATTTTTCTCCGTCAATTTGTCTGGCCAGGGGCTGGCCAAAAATACACAAATAGGTGCGAAATCACTGAACTTTCTCAGTTTTGTGCCTTTGCTGGTATACTTCTAACCGAATGCTAGCAATAAAAGACCGAACAGATTAGCGGCAGAAGTTCAATTTGGAAATCTCTTGAGTCCGACACATAACCTAGTACCTACAACACCAGAGTATTTCAAATCAACGCTAGTGAATTGTTGCTACCAATATCTCAGAACTAAACCTCTAGGCATCGGACACATTACGAAACAGTGTCTGGAGAAACTCAAATTGTTGCACCAATACACTGAAATACTAATCACTTAACCAGACGAAGGTTCTGGTCTCGTTCTTATGAATAAAAGTGTTTACGTCTCCAAGATCGAATCAATCCTGACTGACAACACTAAGTTCAAAAGGGAATAAGGACCAGAGGGCGTAGAATGTCAACTCACAACTTGTCTTCGGAAACTGAAAGACCAAGGTCTCCTTAGTGAACAAGAGTTAGAAGCGCTCAAACCCACAGGCACAATCCCCCCAAGGCTCTATGGTTTGCCTAGGATTCACGGCAGAGGCCGTCGCCATACACCCCATAAACCCGATAATATGTGCGCAGAAGGCGTTTGTAGTGGCCCTACGGCTCCTGTGGCCGAGCACAAACTCGACATCCATCCGCACACCTCCTACCACGCCCCGAGACGATGCGCAGACAGTGACAAGTGGTGTCAAGACGCCGCGAAGTGACGACGAGATGACAGGGTGACATGAACTAATTGTAGGACCCGCCCGTCCTCCCCCCTGCCCCTTTGATATCTTCACAATTTCCCCCCTCTCGCCCTTAATTACCGCTGATTGGTTGCTTAAACTTTTGCTAACTCTACCCTTCCTTTATATTATTGTACATGCCTGATGATGAATTAATCGAAAACGATCGTTCGCCTAACTTGACTTCCTGAATGCTTACATGGATATCATCGCAGAACTGTAGTTGAATCGACCTCCACTACCTCTCTGCATACCCACAATGTTTCACTGGAAATGCTTAACCAAGGAGACGCAGTGTGCTATTTCGTCTCGACCCGTAACTTGCTCAGTAAATACACGTAAACGGTTCAAGTGTCATAACACTAATCAAGCTGCCCTGAAGATGAACTCTGAGGATGGCGGGTACGGTAATGTGACATGCTTTCAAAACGTTCTACTTATATAAATTCAGTAAATGTTATTAAGTTTATTAAAATAGCAAGCCTAACAGATGGCCCCGATAGAAGTGAATTGAAAGCCATACAGGAAGATCTGTGTTGTTCTTTGTCCATCCACTTCTATGCAAAGTTAAGTTTCATGTAAATCAAAGCGGAAAAATTATAACACATCTGCAAACGCCCCCAAAGAAGGACCTGAAGAGGTCGGGGTCGCATGAAAAAATAACAAAAAACTACTTTCTACACATAGACAACTGCAAAGTCAGTGATTTCGGCGGCAGGAATAGACAATCAGCCAACCCATCCTCTTGTGGCACTTCCACAGCGAGAAAAGGGGAATGGGTAAGGAGGGATAACACGATTGCAGGAATAAGGCGCAAGATGGAAAACTCGGAACTAAAATACCTGGGAGAGGAACAAACAGTTCTACACAAAGCTCAAGAAG